TTTTAAATTAAATTTAATGAAAGATTGATGAAGCATCCCTAAAAAGTGTTCTAATATGAAGTGGAAATAGTCAGTCAGTAACAACGTAGAACTTCGTACGTACGTACATCAGTTCTAATTGCCGCACCACATTAGTACAAAGATGCAGTTATCGATTCAAATCCCATAGTGGTAGAGGTAGTAATAGTAAAAGTAGTAATCGGAAAGATTAGGGTTTGAAGACGTTATTCAAGGAGTATAATCCAGTGAAATAAATTTGGAAAGAGAAAAAAGGAGACAAGGAGAAGTCAGAAGATTAGAATTTGGGAGAACACAAAGAGTGTATGCACCTGCGCCATTGCAAACGATTTTGAGCCATGTCATTCAGGGTCTCTAACCATCGGTTGCTATCGTCTCGCGGATCCCAACCAGATAGTCTACACCTACCAATATGACTCAGTCTACTTGTCAGTGACTTCATGGACTTGTGCCATGTTTTGATCTGGCCACTCCTAGCTTTCTTCCAACCTACTCCTATACCAATGGACATCGCACGTCGAGGCAGTCGGTCGTTGGGCATACGTAACGTGTTCCAGCTAATGAAGTTTCACTACTTCACCAACTGATTTGCCATCCTTACCTAGTACCCGTTTCCTAACAACTGCATTAGTCGCTCAATGGAAATAGACAAAATGTAAAGTAAGTTAAGAAGAATTCTTCAACGATTTTCTTTCCAAAAAATGGTGTTAAAAGTGGAAATTCGCTTTACATCCTATATGATACTGATCAACATACATCTTATAATATTTTTAAAAAAATCTAATCTCCATTACCTACCAACCGATCTTTATATCAAATAATAAATCCGTTCGTATTAGCACTAATACCTACACACACGTTAAATGAATTTGTGGTTATCTGAGTTCGGTACTAGGTGGTGTTTGAACTGGGATGTACAGGGTTCGAGTCTCACTGCGAATATCAGCAGTAGAATGCAGGAACATCCTGGTGACGATTCAAAAATAAGGTGAAACTTTTGTCCTGGATTCTACTGCTACCCATTATTTGACTTCAATACTTAAATTATTTGCAATCATCAGCATGAACTAAATGTTAATCATAGATATTCACCTGCCACAGTAATTGTATACGTATTAACATAACGAAAACAAGTAGGGTAGCAGTAGTAAAATGATTTTAAGGTACTCTTCAGTTCAAACATTGAAATATGTAATTAGTTACATGTATACAAAGGCATTCATCTCTAAATTAGTATTCAGTATTAGTCATCTCAATTGCATACTTGGATAATCGATTAAGTGACTCATTTAATTGTCCAATCTAGACATATGTCTAACATATTTGTGAATTCATGGCTTGCACAGACCTGTCTCATTATTTATTCATTATAAAAAACTCATAACTACCCGCGATTTTCCAATAAATTGGATTATACATAATTTATATACTTTTTATTTACATCTCTATGTGAACGATGTGAACGATCAATAGACTACATTAGAATATGTAATGGCGTCAGTCTAAGTCTCTCCACCGACAATAATGGCTTAGATATATCCAGTAATTTTGACCATTCTTCTCATTTAATTAGTCGATAAATGCTATTGTAACCTTTATCAAGGATTTTATTTTAATATATGACTTGCGCTATATTTGTTTTCTCAATCCGAAATGTTTGGTTGCACCGCTTTGATATGTTCATGGAGAGCAGTTTTGTATACCTCTAAATGCTTGAAATGCAGCAATTACCCAATAAATAGAACGAGAAATAAGTGAAAATGTTATGTAAAACAGACATCGTGAACATTGTAAACGTTGTCAATGTCCATAGCCAAAGCATCTTTTTTTAAATTCACTTGTGATCCTCCGTGCTAAAAAAAAGTCCAGATTGAGTAATTGTCCTCTTTATACTAACTAACTGATATGTATTGAATATTTCTCTCACTCATAGGGAGTTAGTAAAACCTATCTGATACACAATAAGTGCTCTTCCATTAAGCGGCACCCTAACAATTTATCGAATTATAGGTCTATGACAGGGAATAGAGATTTGATAAAATAACCCTGATACAGTTGAAAACAGAATTATGTGACGGATTATTTTCCTTGTGAGATTGTAAATCATGTATTTCCACAATTATCAAACAGAAGAACTGTATTTTGGGAGTCCATTAATAAGTTAAATGGTCAAGCATAGTTGAGAAATTCATACGATAGTATATTCAAGCATTCAGATGTTAACATACTGGTGATCAAAGTTATATATCAAATGAACTTAACAAAAATTTATTGTTTCAGTGTTACAGGCTTATTTAGCTGACAACAGTATATGCTTTGGTATAAGAATTAGATAAGAAGCTTCTAATATAGACATGGTATGCTGATGAAACTACTTCATAATCTTCTGGAAAAATCTATAAGATTCGATAATGTGAAGCTAGTTCACTGTGAATCTAACCTGTTCTTTTAGTCTGGGCAGTTGATCAAAATCCCTATACGGTACAAAGTCCACTAACTATTTAATCCGATTAATCAAGTTAGAAATTATTTTCTTTATAATAAATAAGTACTGGAAATCTCCTACTTTATGAATCCAAATACCACCCGTATATATTTCAGACATTCTAATAAGTAGTGATTAGAGAAGTTCATTCATTTTTAATGTGAAATATGTATTACTAAAACTATTAATTAACATTAGTTATATATCATGAATTGACTGAAGTTACAAATGTAAACCATTTAACATCAAGTTATTGGTTTAAAAAGATCATGTTTACATCAAAACCTGAAAATCTTTAATTCAATCTTCTGTATGATAGTGAATAAATACGTTTACAGAGTTTTAAAGTACAATTAAATAGTTATCTATCGTTACCTGATTCTTGGTCATTTCCCAATTAATGTCAATTCGTAACGAGGATTATCAGAAAATCGAAAGTAAACGGTTTTATTTCAAAAACCGAATCATTATCCAAAAATGAATTCACTTTTTCAAGTCCTATTTTTTCATTTAAAATTTCTATTTGTTATTAAGTTAGTAGTTAGTGCGTAAGTCGGTGTATCAAGAGAAAGAAGCAAGAAGAAGAAGAAACAGAAATGTGATATTGATCATTGATGAAAAATAAAATATTTCAATTATGGCAAAAAGGAACTAAGTATGATAGTCACATGTAAGATTCAATTAGACTTATTTTCTCTTTTCAGTAAATGTTAGGGAATTTTAATGTTTAGAATGCTTTTAACAATATGTCTTTTCAAGTGGTTACTGAAACTAGTGAGTTGAACGCTTAGTCATTAATCCAAATAACAATTAGTTTTTAATGATAGAAATTAAATTCGAAGTGGTTATATATATATAGCACAAGGATATCCACATAATGTTGTTAAATGAGTTTTCATTAAAGTTAAGATTATCCAGGGTATGGTAGAAACAATTAATTTCCATCTATAAAGCACACTCACTTAATACAAGGATTTCTTAATTACACATTGATTGTTGTATCTTCTCTATCAGTCAAGCCAGTAGTTGTTTAACTAATTTCAGTCCATGATTTGATAAAGGAAATTTGATAATCTTTATGTTAATAATAATCACTTACCCACTAGAGACTCATTTTCAGATATAGTTCCAGAAGTTCTAGTGAGATACTGTAACCAGTGAAATTTAAATCGGGCGTGAGACAATTATCGACCGAAGCCAATGAAAGATGGTCAAATAATATGGCGAATTGATTGAAGTTAGATATATACACCCTTGAATTCTATCTCAGTGGTCTAGAAATTAAGCGCTCCTAGTAAGACAAAAGGTCCTGGGATCGTTGGTGAACACTGCTGAATAGTCCCGTACTAAAACGAAATAGCTGTTCAGTGCTCCCTGATTTTCGATGTTTATTTAAACAAAACCAGGCTGTGATATAAAATATAAGTTTAAAATCTACAAAATAGAATAGAATGTATGCTCTTAATATACTAATGATGCTCAACTAAGAACCTCATACAAAGTACAAAGTATCAGTTAGTTTAATTTGTATAATTGATTCATAGAATGAAGAGAGTATGATTATTGAGTGTAAATCTACTACCTAACAGTGTAACCTTCTTCATAAAAAAAATCTTTAGCGTTTTGATACAATATAACATTAAATATTGAAAATATCAAAGGTGTATTCACATATAGCTCTATTCACCTTGTGTACAAAAATAAATACTGATATCAATGAAATAAGTGTGACGTCATTCTATTCTAATTAGGTTGTTTTTATTTTCTGTTTTTCTTAAAAGAAACACTTTGAAATTACCTGATTTGTATTTCACTTTAGATATAAACCGATTTGATAAGGAAATGGTTAACTGATCAACTTGATTAACTAAATCTTTAAAGTTCTGATTGCAAAAGATATCGGTGATTATTTTAAATAGTAGGAGAGTAAACTATGATGAAGTAAATATTAATAAAAGCATTTATTGGTTCGGATTAATTGATCTAATTTCTAGGCTGTATACGTCAGAGAGTAACCTCATTTGGAGTACCATTGATAACTAGGTTGGTCTTTGCGATAAATCGCAAATTGATTAAGGTTTGGGTTGTATCACTGTACAATGATGCAATAGTTTTAATGTTTAAGCGTTCGTCGAGAGACTTAAAACTCCTATGTTCAATTCATGAAATATTATTTGGTATGTAATTTTAAAAAGTAAAACACGAAGGAAGATAGGTGTGTCATTCCTCAACTGTCTCTAATAATATCCCGAATGTGATCAATTTGTGATGAATACAGCCTACAAAATTATGATAATAATTAAGAGGGAAATTTCCCAATAGATAAGAATCATTTTTGACTGATCAGTCGAGGTGATTTATACAATTTTCAGATTGTATTCCAACATTAATTGATATTAATTAGAAGATTATTAATAACTAGGAGGGATTCTTGATTTGAAACAAGATTGAAACTTTCCAAAAGTTCACATTTACTATTTACAATGAAATTAAATTTTTTTTAAAAAACTTTACATTTGATGGTAAGTACAATAAGAATTAGTCATGTTTATTTGTTTAAATGATCGTTGATAAGCTTTTTATTCTTTAATGTTTGAGATTGATTAGATACCTTATCACACATAATTGAATACATTTAATAAAGATTTATTTAGATAAAGATTACAATAAAATCTATATTCAGTAATCAAAAACAATTCATCATCACATTAACTATACAAGCGTTCTGAATAAAGATAAGTCATACGAAAGTCTATTTCTTAGTAGTTTCAAAACGTTGTATGTAGGAATACAGCTCAATAAAGATAATTCATTTATTTAGAACATGATCTTTAAATAGTGCACTATAAGTGATGGATACAACATTTTATTAATATATACTTGTATCTACTGATTTATTCATCTTTTGTTCATGCTGTATGATTTTAATTCCTTTGATATTTTAACCGTGATGATGTAAGATGTTCAAGAATTTCAAGAATATCTTCTATGGTTAATTGACATTTATTAAATGATTCTTGGAAATAATCCAAATTTTCATGATTTATTGTTGAAATAATTCGAGTCAGTGTTTTATCGGTTGGGGTTGGTGCTGGCCCACCTGGTTGTTCTGTGGTTTCTTCACGTGTTAGTGATGAACTTGTCAAAAAGCTATCATTGGCTTCCGTTATTCTCCACGACATGATAACACACAATATTGGTAATATCTTTATTAAATCCAATTGTTATATACGTATATAGTTATGTATTATTCCGATAGAATGAAGTTGAGAATTTCCTTTTTCTCGGAATTAATGTCGTATGAAATTGTCGGAACGGCTTTTTTTCTTTCCAGTCAACTAATGATACTTTTTTATTGTTCGAATTTATTCGAAAACTGATTGGTTGATGTATTGGCACATACAAACACACACGAAAGTAATTATGTATGAGTTCAGTACCATTCATTATTTCATTAGGTAATTAGTATATAATTGATCTTTGGTTAGAAGTGCATAATTCCAGTATACTTGTATCATATGATAATAAAATACGCTGAATTAATTTAAGGATAGTTTAACTTATATATTGAAAAAATAAATTACTTCTAACTAGGCATGCACACTAAAGTTCATTTAGTTTTGTTTAAAAGTTAAGGCTTTTCCCAATGTTAATATCAACATTGAAAAGTCCTAAATAAGATAAGACAAGCATCCTGTGTCCTACTACTAGTCCAAATCCATCTTTTCCCTAAAACATTTGACAAAATGGCCGTATGGAACCAATCCACAGTGAACGCACAAAAGCCTACAAAGATTGATCGAAGTTCAGTCAAGATTAACAACAAAATGGTAAATCCGTTATGATTTTTGTCCCTGTGAATTATAACGCGACAAATTCGCCAACGCGAATACCGACTTATATGACCTTGTTCTTGTGCTAAACCAATGACACATCAAAATAGCACTAGCAGCCACGCGTCAACTCTGAATCCTTATTGGTCCTTCTCGCCTTGCCCTGCCCGTTGAGACCAGAACACAATCTCAACCTCCACTGTATAAAAAGTATATTTCAGACATACGCAGTTTATATACAAGCAAATTAAACCGCATCATATCACAAAATAAAAATATAACAATTATACAAATGAGTGCAAAAGTGGCTCTGAGTGTGAGAGACTACAACAAATAGATTACTTGCTTTCTTACGCCTGTTACTCCTCGTGGAGGAGAATAGGCTGCTCACCAGCTGTTATATCTTAGTGAGAATTAAATTATGAGTAACTTCTGGGAACTATTAATGGGCTAATATTATATATATTCTTATTCAGTAACTCGATTATGTATATCTATATTCCTCTTATTATAAGCTTTATTTTTACCTATAGACTATTATGATACGATTTACTATTCTTAAATTATACTCAGTTTATTAATTAGTTTCCCACATTCACATCCACTTTTTGGCTTGGCTATATTCGTAGGTTTGATTGTCTTCATTTGTCCTTGTATTCATTCTGATTATATCGGTCGGTTAACTGAGTGACTTCTCGGGTATTTCAATGTGCCCATTGATTGCTAAGTTATCCATAGTTGTTACTTGTTTCCGTTGGAAGATTACTGTCTCTGAGGATTAAAGTTTCATCAACTATTATATTTTGCCGATAATTCATACTCTGACTGATTTGCAATGCAGATATTTATCTCAACGTATTGGCTCCCTGAATTTACTATTCGATATCTTCATTTACTCAATCCACTAGAGTGAATTTATTAGAATAGTCGGCTTTCACTTCTCTTTAAAAATAGACCGTGTCAAAATATTAATACACAATTACACTAAAAGCACGAGTCAATAATGTATAAACAATATTGAATAAATAAAAAATGAATGAAGCTTCGACCTGTTTAGTGTTTGTCATTTGGTTTTTTGGTATTGATTATTTCCTGTGTAAAATTGTAAACCATTTTGTTTTGCTATAAAGTAATTTTACAATTGTAACTTGTACCAATACAGTTGCTATTTTACATTTTCTGTGTCGGTAATTGATAATGATGGACAATAATAACCAGGTCATAATCTCGTTGGTCAATAAATGACCTAGAAAATGTTTTCCTTGCAATTATTTATATATTTCAGATGAATTTTAGTTGTCTATTTTTGTGCTAAACAGTTTGCGTATAGGCGTTTTATATTTTATTAGGGAAAAAAGAGAAGGATTCTGCTGCTTGTTTGCTGTCTCTTCTAGCACCATATCTGTTCATTTGAAGCCATTATGTTATTGATTCAATTTTAGTGAGTAATCTCTGCTCGGCCGCACAATTCACATTAGTGTGTGCTGATTATTAGTAACGCTTAAAATTTAAATATGATTTGTGAGGTGCTAATGAAGGGCCGTGACCTTAGTATTTAATCAAGTCAGTAAACCACTGATGCGATTTGATGTAGATACCTTGGTATCACAAAACCTACAGAAATTGAAAATATGAACCATTGGATATTGATTGAATGAGCTGAATTTATGGCGCTTGCCACGAGTTTCAAAATGTTTTGTATTTGTATTCGTCTGAGGACATGATAACAGATTGCTGAATAGTTCCTAACTAGAACGTGGTAACTTCCTAGTATTTCTTAGTTTGTCAGCAGACTTTCAGTGTGTAAATTAATTCGGTTACAAAAATAACTTAACATGTTAGGAAATTTATGCATAAACATAGATTTATATAATGTCGTGAATAAATGCCAAGTATCCTATATAGCGTCATGTTAAATAACTTTCTGCTTTTATCTTAAAATAATTACATGAAAGTACATATCACGTCGAATGTTTTATCCTACTTCAGACTTGTTAGGTGGATCTTGACGCACATAGCAAAATTCAAACCAAGGGTCAATTACTTTAAACAATACAGTGTTATTCAACAAGTTACTAAACCACAAAATCTACCGTGTTCAAAGCTATATATTACTGATCGTAAAGGTTATTATTTTCATCCTGTCGATATTCAGAAATGAGTTGATTAGTTTCATTCTATATTCAAGTAAAGACTAACCAACTTTAATACCGATTATCAACAATGGAAAGATATAAACCCCCTAAAATTAATAGTATTTATATAAAGTTTATTGAAATTCTTAAAAGGATCTTTCCACTATTCATTTAGTGAAAAACAGTACATTTTTAACTAACAATGAATACAATTTTGGACAGAAGATAAAACAAACATATATCAAACAATGTTACATAATTTTCCAATAACTGGATTTCAGTAATTACAAAAAGAAAGTTATGGTAAGACTTTTTTTATAGTGCAAAACGAAGTCAGTCCTCTCTGTTTATTACAATGTTTTTTGAATATCAAATTAGAAGTCAACTTGTTCTAGATTGCCTAGGTCTTGTAGTATAGAAGGAAATTGTTTTCAAAACTATGTTTGAAATATTATACCCTTTATTGTATAAAATGAATAGTCAACTCGACATCATGTAATAAGTTCAATATGTCATATAAATGAATATATACTTCGGGTTTATAGAATTATATAAATATATATTGCGCAGTTAAATTTACATTCATCAACATCATGATCAATTATTATCAAGAAACAATTAATTAAGTAATTTGTGATCATTACTACCTAGATTAATGAAGGAACAAGTCATACAAAAACCAGAAAACTGGAATCTTCTCTTGTAAACAACAAGTTTATAGTCAATAAAAAAGTTCAATTTGAAAGGTATCTAACATGAGATCAATCATACTTTTGATGATAACAATTTCACGTTAAAACAAGAAATGTAAAATTGAATTATTATTTTCATTTGTTCTAAACATTAAAAGCAACAGAAGGAAACTATGAACTGTAATGTATCGAAAATCACTGCTCTTCGACAAAATCCTGAATCTTAATATGGACAATTCGATATTTTAGTGGAATCGTTTTTTTTCGAGATGGATGATTTAGGCATAAACCATTCGTCGTGTTTTTTTAAGACAGTATTATCGATATGTTGATCACTTGTGGTGCAATTCTCATAGCTTACTTCTATCTAAATTTCGTGTTGTTGTTTAGAAAGACGATAAAAGCTCCAAGATTAAACCGTCCACCTGAGAGAGAGTTATTTCATCAAAATCATCCACCTGAAGTTTAAATCTTTGTCACTATCGCACAACTCAACATTTAATATAATAATATACACACAAACATTAAGCAACAAAACTATAATAGTGTAGTAAATCTACAACACGAAGAAATGAAAACAAACTGATAATTATTACTTACCAGAACAACAGCTCATGACAAAAATCCATCAAAATCTCTCTCAGTCATGGAAACAGAGAGGTATGTAAGTTTACTCAGTATGACGAACATTCTACAGCTTGCAATCAAACTATTGAGGCCATCTAAAATCAGTTTGTTTCACAATATAACAAGATTTCTTAGACATACTAGCCTATCTTCGTCATTCACCTCATTTTTGTGAGTAAAAAGTAGTTATCAAGCTTCACAACATGACTTATTTCATGGCACTGGATATTGATACTAATTCGGTCGAAAAACTTTTGAAACCATGAATAGAAGTAGTACAAACAAGGTTAGAGTAATTTTAGATTGGAACATGTCGTTCAATAATCAACAATTATAGTGATGTATACCCAGACTATCAGTTAATCAGAAAAACGATTACAAAAGCAGGCAGTGAAGATATCAATGAAAAGATTGACAGTAAAATTACTATTAACTAACAACTGGGATATTTTCATACAGACATCAATAACACAACTTGAGCGAAGACATTACTTTTCAATTAGTTCCTCTCTTCTCTTTACACCCATATTATTTCACATTTACGCTTTGATTTTTTCATCTTTATTGTTGCAGAATCATTTCGAGTAATTAACTGGTCCCCAAAACCTTAACTTTAGTCTCTACTCTTATGTAATCATTAAAAATAATTGACTGACTCTTAAACATAAATTTACAATTACGTATTTTTTATTTTTTTTGCGTAATCAGTCTTAATAGCAAAATAACTTACATTCCAGTTCATTAGTATAATTATTTATTCATTACAATTTGATTAGTAATTAATTTTGTAAACGTAAAAAACTATCTAGTACTGTAAAGCTATAATAACGTTAATTAAACAGAAATAAATTCTTTAATCATCCTGTATTTTTAATATTAACAAACAATCACATTCCATGTCTAGTGATCAAGATGCTAACCACTTACGTCCCACGTGTAGGGTCGTGGATGTGCACTGCTGAGGTGTCCCATACCAGGACGAAACTGCCGTCCAGTGCTTCCAGTTTCTCACTTGTGGTCTGACATTGATCTGTTC